GGGGGGATCCAAAGCCAGCCCCCCCCTCTAGGACCGTCTGCTTAATTAATTAACATCCTCCCCACCCCCCCGCAAGAGAAAATATTACTGTAGTTAGGAATGGTCGCTGCTGAGGCCCGGAAGGAAAAAAGGATTTAGAAGAAAATGGCCACCACTTCCAGCATTTAATATAATTGATAGAATATAAATAGTGTCTGAAACCTGGCATTTAGTATAACTTATAAGTATATATGAGTGTGTACTTGTGTGTATGAGAGAGAGAGAGACTGTGTGTGTGTGCATATATACACATTTAAAATAAGTGTGCAATGTGTGTGTTTATAAACATATGAAAGCATGTGTATGTGCATATGCATGCATGTGTATCTATATATGTGTATATATATGTATATATGTGTGTACATAATTTAAAACATAGTATGTGCTCGTGTGTTTTACGTGCGTGCTTAGGGTGTGTGTATAAAAGCGTGCATACATATCTTCATGTGTGTGTGTGTGTGTGTTACATTTTAAAGGGTGTGCATGTGTTTATGAAAGCACGCGGATGTGTATACATTTTAAAGGATACGTGTATGCATAATTTGGGTGCGCACGTACACATATACACGCCCACATTATTCATTCTTTTCCTCCCCCCCCCAAAAAAAAATTATTAGTATTTGGGTTGTGTTGTAGGGTCTCCGTTTATGCTTTCCTTGAAACGTTTTTGCGCCCTTGATTTCTGCTAGTAACCCAACGCGATTGACTGACGTTCCCGGATAGGAAAGAAGCCGAAGCCGCTTCGTATTATTAAAAAAAGGAAAAACGCGTCTTCGCTAAAAAGGGTGGAAAATATATCGCTGGCCCTCAAATGCAAATCTAAGGATGGTTTCCTATGGAAGGCAACCTGTTTTGAACGCGGCTTTGGCAAAAGGGGGAAAAGATATATTGCTGGCCCTCAGTATAAAATAGATAAAAACTCACGATCACCAGGAGAATAAAAAGTTTAAAACTTTAATTTAAAACCAAGCTTTTGCTGGGAGCTCCCAGCATCATCAGGGTTAACAAGCCAGTCTATTTTATACTATGGATTTACCCAGGAGTCACATCTTCAAGGATATTATTGAACATTGCTGGCCCTCAAATGCGAGTGACAACCTGGGCAAGTTTTCCTATTGAAGGCAACCAGTTTGCAATTAATCTCTTTGGAGAGTCGATCCATAGGCCTCTTAAAACTGGGGAGGGATGGAGAAAAATGTCCTCAGACAACGCCTGGTCGCATTTGCTTAAAACAAGAAAAGAAAAGAAAAAGAAACGAACGGGATTAAGTAGAATGCAAACTGCTCTAGTTGCTATCAAAACATAGGAAAAAAAAATAGAAATAGGCACCACCAGCCCCCCCCTCTCTTCTCCTGTGTATTTATACCTTTATTCCCCCTTTCATTGTAAGGGAAAAATCATGTAAACCTGGAATTAAAGTGGAGATCCGGCCGACCCTTGTGCCATAATAGTTTGTGGACGCGCGGATTCGTCTCTGTTGTTGGAAATGAAGCATTGAAATCCAGGCCCGCCCTGGCTCTTTCTTTATTCGTTGGTCTTGGTTAAAAAAAAAATGAACGGAAAATTAAATGTTTTCGTGGACCTTAACTTCTTCCCACGTCAGCGTTTCTAGGTATAGTTTTCTAACTGATTTAACCGCCTGGATCTACAGCTAAAGGAAGCTGCAAATCAAAGGGTTTTCCACATATTTTGGGATCGGGTTATATTTTACTGCATAGGCCAACAGATGCTGTCCAGATAAATTCTATATTTTTGCTTCCACATGAGTCTTCCTAGGATTTTTAAAAAAAGGGGGTGGTTTCAGCACTATTCTTTACAGAAATCTCTAAAAATAAGCCTCTCTTGGTGTGTTGCTTGGATTTAAGGTGTCCTAAAATATGTTTTCTGGAATAAATCAGAGTTGCATTGGAGAGTTGTGCCCAGGTCGTAAACCATGGTTTACCAACAATGGGGATTTGGGTTACCCAACACACAAAGCCACAGCCCCCTCAGAGTTGTAATTTCCCCATTTCTGACTCTAGCAATTCCACGGATCATCCCTAGAGGGCAGCACAGACTGGGCCCGCTGGCTCCATCCTGCTGCCCTCTAGAGGACGCTCTGAGTTTTGCAGCCAAGATGCGGTAGCAATCATTTTTATTATTATTATTATTATTATTATTATTATTATTATTATTATTATTATTATTATTATTATTATTATTATTATTATTAGCTGGCTGCAAAATACTAGCCAACTCAGCTTAGTGAAGAGACCATGGTTAAAGGTAACCCTGGCTTTGCACAATGCCCCTGTCCAATATTCTTCCAATCTGGCACTATAAATTCCATAAATTCCAGTACCCGAAATTGGAATCCTGCAGTTTGTAATGTGCAATCCCACAAATGTATTGGTGAGAGACCAGACACTTCTGTGTGTCTGTGTAAGAGAGAAAGAGAAAGACACACACACACACACACGGGGGGGGGGGAGAGACAGAGAGAGAGAGACAGATAGACAGACAGACAGAGGGACAAGTATAGAGACAGAGACAGAGACATGTGAATTTTCTATGAATCAGCCTGGCATCACCTATGAGTAAGTTGGGAGTTATATAAATTTGTTTAATAATAATAATAACCATCATTTAATAAATAGGGCAGCTGCTTCGTTTTATTTCGGCTTTTGAGGCCACAGTAAGCTGGAGAACGGTTGCTGAGAACTTTTTTTAAGAGTTGGGAGTCTTTTTCCCATCTCCTGCCCCCCCCCCCCACCTCCCCATCTTCTCCAGGCTGGGTTATCCCAGAGAGAGAGAGAGAGACGGTTGGAAGGAACACCAATGGGCCTGATCCACCAGCGCCAAATAAATCATTTTCCTTGATAGATTTTTTTTTCTCTCTCTCTTCTGTCTCGTCTTCTAAATCCGCCGAACGAGTTTAATGCTCTTCCACAGAAATCCGTCTTTGGAGATTTTCAAAGCTAAAGGGGAAATAAGGGGTCTTTTCTTTCCCCCCCGCCCCTCCCCCCGCTCAGGAAGGGGGCTCAGATTATGCCCTAAAATTTTCTGTATGCATAAAAAAAGGGGGGAAAAGAACAAGAAGCGGTTGGGTCATGGGTGCAAATCCTATAAACCGTTACCGATTTGTTATCAATCCTATTATCAATACCGCAGGATCAGGAAATGATCACGAATCGTTGGGTCATTATTTAAACTAAAATAATAACAATCTAAGTCTCCATTGAGTTATCTTCCGTTGTTTTGACCGTGCACCCCTTTTTCTGAGCAAAAAATGTCTTGGGGGGGGGTCTTGTAGCCCTACGCCCGGCTAAAATAATACGCCGCGGATGGCAATTTTTTAAAAAATCTATTTCTATCGATTTATATGATCTGTATAACCGCCTGTCTCGCAGAAGAGCTTTCAAAGTCGCCCCCCCCGCCTCCCAAAAGGGTAAATAATAATAATTAAAAAAATCCGGCCGAAAAAAAAAAGTCATTTTCTCGCCGAAGTGCCGGCCAGTTTATTTATTCTATGTATATATATTTCATAGTTTCTTAACCGTCCGTCTCCCTCGGAGAGTTCCCGGCTTTGCAAAACGTGCAAAAAAGAAAAAAAAAAGAAAAATTTAAAAAAAAATCCGTGGCGCCCCTTTGCTGTTTCGAGTGGGGGAGGGAAGTTTTCCAAGACATCCCCCCCCCCGCGCGGTTGGTAGGGTTGATTTCAACGGGATTGCACGGTTTTACACAACCACACAATCGCACTTACACAATCGCACACATACACATACACGCGCGCGCGCGCGCGCAAAAGAATTCTTCCAAATGGAACAATCGGAGGTTCAATTGGACTAAGAGGTTAGGTATTATTGTGGGTCTTCGCACAGTCGGCCAGATGTTCAGATGGCCAGATGTTTCGCATTCCCCCCCACCTATCGAATCCTTCCCCAGGACTTTGGGATAGGCAGATGTGGCCCTTTGAGGGTGTTAAAGTCAGCTGTTCCAAGAAAGAAAGAAAAAAAGATCCCTTTTGCTGGGTCTTTCACGATCAAATACGATATGATCAGATGTTATCGCCATCATCAAATATGATATTACCATCGCATCGCGTTGCGTTGTATTATTATGCTACCTTATTTATGATTATGGGCAATCTACGATTAGATTAACAGACGAAAACGTTTTTTTTTAAAAATAAATAAATAAATATTGACTTGAAAAAATAAACATTTTAAAAATAAAATAATCCAGGTCCAAGGACTTGGCTTCTTAGCGTCCTTTATGGGCTAATCGTACATCAAGCCAGATGTTTTAAATGATGCTTATTGATTTTATTCGTTCATATCCCGCCCGCATTCGTTTTATAAGTCACTCCAGGCTAATTCGCCTTCCTCCTCCTCCTCCTCCTCCTCCTCCTCCTCCTCCTCCCCTTATTCTTCTCCGTCTTATTAGTTCAAATCGTATTTATCAAATTATTCTGGTAGCGCCAATGTTTGCGGGTCGGGTGGAGCGACCTGAATCGTCCCGAAGGGGGTCAAGGACGAACTGAAAAGTTTGGGGTTGATAAACCTGGTTTCCCTCGGGCGAGGTGGGAGCTGAGCTGCTTCTAAGAAGAAGGGNGTGGCAAAATTCCCCACTTTTGTTCCTTTCAAAGCCTCCCTCTCATCCACCTTTCCTCTCTCGGATTCGGACCAAGGAGAGGAGCAGCAGGGAGGGAAAGCTGGTGATCTGCCCAACGCTTGGACTACAACACCCATCCTCCCCACCTGGCTGGGGAGGCTGAGGGTTGAAGTCTGGGCAATGGTGAGGAACTTCTCTAGGTGTCCATTCAAGCGACCTCAAATGATCCTGGTTTTTGTGTCCCTGGTTACACCTTCGTCACTCTTGGGAACCAGCTCTAAAGTCCCATGCACCCAGTTCGGTGTGCTTTCACTTCTCCTTCAGCCGAGTTTCAGGGAAAAAATATTTCCCAACTGGATGGAATCTTGCCCACAAATTGTCACGTTTCATTTGAACAGGCAGGTTCTTTTAACAACCAACCTTCCTTGCTATTGAGCGTTTGATATTGGCTTGCCAGGAGCCTCCGGAATATGGCAACCGCATCTTGTGTTTGGAAGGAAACTTTTGTAGGGCGTGTGTCCTTACACTTACCTTTAATGCAAGCCCGGAGCGAGGAAATTGTTGGAGGCATCTGTAAATGAAGAGGGGTGGGGGGGAGTTTCTGTGGAAGGATTCCCGTGAGTTTAACGATGGAATTTATTCATTCCTGGACATACACGCTCTCCGGTTAGTTGCTCTGGGTTTGTAAAGCTGAGTTCAAACTGCCTTTTAAAAAAAATAATAATAATTCCAGAACTTGCAACCTTGAGATTCACCAAAGAATCTCAAGGTTGTGATGAGTTGTGATGAGTTCTGGTGAGAACTAGAAGCTTTACTAATACAACTGTGCAGATTTTTCAGTGGTGCTACTTTCCCTCTTTGTCAGGGGTCAGGGATGGGCACCAGGGATTGCCATGCTAGCGAGAATACCTTGATGGGTTTATTTTAGATCCTCCCAAGGATGTCAAAAGAAGATCCACTAACTCAGAAGGCCAGGAAGATGAAGTCAAGAGCTTAAACTTGGGAGCTTAAATAAATAAAAAAAAAAAGTTGCTTCTTTATCTGTGATGGGCAACCCAGTCTTTGATTGCCGGCTTTATTCTGGTCGGAAATACAGATTCTGACCTAGTCAGTAGTCAGAATTCTTCCCCTGAATATGCTAAGTGCAGAATTAAGCAGTTAGAGAATTGTGGGGTCCTTGGTGCTCTCTGAACATGGTGGTTTTCTTGCAAATGTTTCATTACCCAACTAGGTAACATCATCAGTGCTAGAAGGGAGGAGGAGGAGGAGGAGGAGGACTGTGGGGTCCTTGGTACCTTCTGAACTTGATTGTTTTTGAAGACATTTCATTACCCAACTAGGTAACATCTTCAGTGCTAGAAGGGAGGAGGAGGAGGAGGAGGAGCAGGAGGAGAAGGAGAAGGAGAAGGAGAAGGACTGTGGGGTCTTTGGTACCTTCTGAACTTGATTGTTTTTTGAAGACATTTCATTACCCAACTAGGTAACATCATCAGTGCTAGAAGGGAGGAGGAGGAGGAGGAGGAGGAAGAGGAGGAGGAGAAGGAGAATGACTGTGGGGTCCTTGGTGCCCTCTGAACCTGGTTGTTTTCTTGAAGACGTTTCATTACCCAACTAGGTAATATCATCAGTGCTAGAAGAGAAAGGGGCTAGCTCTCTGTTCGTCTGCAAGAAAACCACCACGCTCAGAAAGCACCAAAGACCCCACAGTTTTCAACCCTGAGCTACAAATATCCTAACTGGTAGTCAGAGAATTGAGATGTACAGCGTGAAATCTGAAATCCGACAGCATATGGTATCCATCTCTAAGTTAGGTTTTTTTAGACCAAGAGGCCAATCTGTAGCCAGTGGGCAACAGACCAAATAACGAAGAAGAGTCTTGTGACACACTGAAGATGGCCAATTTACAGTCAATTCCTAATGGGGACTCCTCACGATCTCATAAATTGGTTTAGAAGAGGTTAGATTTTTTTTAATAGAGTTTTATTAATAATACAAGATTAAAAAACACATTGGACATAGATATGACATCACTGGTTCCATACATCTTCCGTCACTTTACAGTAATATTAGTACTCATATAGACATATAGTTCTTGAGCTTTGCTCGCTATTTATCCTATAATATTAACACTTTCCCCCTTATTTCTGTATATTTATTTATCTTTTAAGTATACATTTGTCTATAATCTAAATTTTATTCTAACACTATACGTTTATCATGGCTACCCTCTTGTTAGCTATCCAATCATAAAATTGTTCCCAGATTTTGTAGTACTTAGTTTCACTTTTATCCTTGAGTTCCAATGTGAGTCTATCCATGTCTGCGCAATTGAAAATTTTCAATAATATTTCCTCTAGAAGAGGTTAGATTTTTAATGTCATCAAAAACATGGCTACGGTGACACCCTAAGTGTTGAGTCACCGCCATTGGTTGGGTGATGTTAGAAATGGTCTTCAAAACATCTCATTAAGCAGGAACGAGGGACTCGTGGTGGGCCAGAATCAAGAGATGGCCATGTCCACCCCAAGGTCCTCTTGTCACGATCTAACCACCTTCCTACAGGGTTTTGATCTCCTCATTGCTCAATGCCACCTCAGTTTCCCTTTCTTTGGAAAGTCTTCCCTCAAGCAGAGGTCAGGGTGGGTCTTTGCCAGATGCTCATCCCTCCTTCTCAGCTCTCTCCTCTTCCTTCTGCAGGAGGATGTTCCCCACCTTCCAGGTGAAAATTTTCGGGATGGATCCCATGGCAGACTACATGCTCCTGATGGACTTTGTCCCGGTGGACGACAAACGTTATCGGCAAGTATTGGTCCTCCTTTGGAAGCCTTCTCTGGGGAGCGGAGCGCTCTCCAAGGGCTGCCGTGGGCCCTTGAATGGAGAGGACCTCCGAGTAGGCGGCTGAGTGCCTTGCACGGGGACGGAGGGAGGATGACAATCACAAGCTGCAACTACATCCCAGGGCTGGGTGGTCTGTCTCCTTTTTGCTGATGCTGGAGTTGCAAATCCCCCCTCAAGACAGACTATTCCTCGGAGGATTTAGTATCGTTTTTACAATATTGTGGGAGTCAGTTTGGTCTAGGGGTTAAGGCAGCAGGCTAGAAACTGGGAGGCTGTGAGTTC